TCTCAGTGCTTTGTTCAAGCTATACAGTAAACTTAGATTTCTTCATTTACTTAATCAGTTAGAACTGATTCTCACTTTTTATTTTCTCAATGCATTTGACTATAGAGTCATCCGATCAAATTTATTTCAAAGTGACATTTGTAAATCTGCTATTTTTAGTTGGCCCTTGAATGTTTGCAATCGTCCTTGGGCGTTGATTTGAAAGCATCAGAAGTTGAGGTCGCAGTTGTTACAAACGAAAACAGAAAATTCAGGTACTGAAATACTGGCAAAAGACATAAAAATACTTGAAGTAGAGAGGTCGAAAATGAATTAGGATGGATCACTAGCTAATAATACTGATATTTCACAGAATTATGGTCAAGATAATATTTACAGGAAGCTGCCAAATACGGAAGTTGATCACCATTTGAACGCTATCGCTGAAAGAGATTGAAAGACATTCGTTAATCTTTAACTTTTTATTAATTCATATGTTCTTTCTGAATTTCTTCGAAATAAGATATTTCATATAATGCATGGTGTTGAATTACAATGCAGACTCATTTCTCTTCGTTTAAAATATTGATGGTACGTGATCGATGCCGCTCTTCCGTAAATCGTATGTTTGTTGGTATTTTCGAATGCGGTGTTCCAACTCCAGTTTTCGTTGTTATTTTATTTCTGTTCGCAGTCATTACACCCTTTGATGGTAGTGGATCTCTAAAAGCTAATGCTTCTAAAAACTCACTTTTAATGATTAGAAATTAGTATCTTACTAATGAAGTTTTCAAAGACTACGAAGTTTATGAGATATGCATAGCATAAAGTTAAAAAAATAGAAGTCTTTTGTTTCCACTCTTTCTTAATTTAAGAGCCACAAAGTTGCATTGGAAATATTTTTTTTTTTCGGAATGCGACAATTCCTTTATAAATTACCTTGCTGATTTTCCAATAGGTACAAATATTTCTTCGGTCACAATAGATTCTGGAATCTGGACATCCTTTTCTACTGGAGTGTCTGTTATGGATGTTACTGGTAGTTTTTTCTTACTAAAATTATTCGTCATTCACATCTGATAAAATAGTTCTAAATCCAAATGATCAAATCTTCAAAGCTCAAATACGAAATGGAATTTAATGCTGACAATTTGATAATAACTGATTATTAATTTATTATTCTTTTTTTGAATGGACATTGCAACACTGCAGGAATAGTATATTAAGTGTACCCGATTTATATTATGGTTCATTAAAAATCAATTATAGGAATTATTGTAAGACGTGGACCGGATACATGTGCGCGAAATCAAAGTAATTATCTAAAATCTCACTATTTTGTTCTTGGATTCTTATTCATTTCAAAATATATGAGATATGAGATTTTTCCTTTTTTCTAAATTTCCGTTTTATTGGTTATTTCTTCTGATTGATAAAAATTTCAATTCATTAGATCTTTTGCATGAAGTATCAGATTAAATCATCAAGCTTTTAACATGAAAAAAAATTAAAAATGGATGAAATTTTCTTCCCAAATATATTTCTACAGTATAACTTGAATTTTGGGAAATTTTCATTATTTTTTTTTAGGCAAATATTGCCTAATTTTGGTATGGTAAATGAAATGAGCAAATATATTTTTCTTATCATAGACACATCACTAGATAAATAGTAATGATTCAGATGAATGATTAAATAGATAATTGGGTATGATCGGGAATGTTTTTTAGGATAAAATTTTTATCTTTTTTTTTGTTGTCGTAAATGGAGCTTAGCTAAATTCATCAATGGATATACCTTTTCGACCATATTCTCTCAATCAATTTATCAAATTCTACGAAGCTTATTTCTCATTTTCAAAGTTGAACTAAATGTTCTCTACTACTGTAATACTGTACAGATGAAAAATTGAAATCTGCGTTAAAAATCAATAATCTATCAGATTTTAGTAAGTCGATGATTTTCACTTTAAAATTTAAACTAAATCTACGATAGAAGAGTAGAACATACGGTAGAATAGTAGTACAAGTAGAATCCATATTAGAGATCGGTGAAATTATTCTAAAAAAATGATTCAATCATACTTTATTCTTCTCTATCTCTCTTTTTAATGATTTCAGTGATTAACTGGATCTAAAAATTGAAATGTGTTATTGGTGTGATGTAATTCTAATATATGTCATATGCTGTATGCTCAGTCAATTGTTCAATTAATACACTTAAACTTTAACCTTTTCTCATTCATACTCCTACTTCTCTTTTGAGTTTTCTCAGATTTTGATGTACATGAATATGATTCTTCACTTTCTTCATTTTCATCTCTATAACATTCATTCATTTTAATGTTTGTAATTTTTACACTAAATTAGATTAAGTAATCTATTAATAGCATTTTCCTCAAACAATATTATGAAAATGATGAACTGAAATTTTGTTAACAATAAATATCTTTGATAAATTGATAATAATAGAAGTCTAACTGTCGAGATCGTTTTCTACACGCTGTTACTGAAATAATCGAAAGTAATAATGTTGATAAGAGATATGGAATGATTGCAACTGTTGTATGTTGAATATTTCGAATTGAACACCAACCGACTGTTTCATTCTCTGTCATTTTCTACAAATAGCTTGCAATATTTATATCATTTTGATTTATAAATAATTTAAGAGTATGAAATGTTTATTTAAAAAAAAGGACATTATCGATTAGCATTGTTCTATTTATGTTTTTACAATATTAATTAAACAGATAAAAGGTAAACAAATAACAGAATGGTACTTAGCGTGAGAATTAAATAAAATTATTAATAGTTTGTGGTTAAATTCAAGAAGAGAAATTTATTCATTTATTAATTAAAAATAAACAAATTGATAAAACAAAATAATAGGTAAATTTTGCAATAGTTTATGTTCAATTTCAAGGAAAAAGAAATTGATTATTTATTGATTAAAATAAACAAAAATATATGAAATTGAGGGAGAGAGGAAGAGAGAGAAAGGGAGAAAGAAATGAAACATTTAAAATAGCATTAAATTATTAATCAAAATATGATAATATATTTTAGAAACAAAACGGATAATATTCATAAATCGGAAAATGAAATAAATATAAAAGAAAGCTTAACAAAGTATTTGCTAAAATACTTTGAAATATTAATCGAACAATTAATTGATGCTTAGAATATTCTTTTCCATAATATTAAAATTACAACGAAATATGAAAGAATCTTAATTCTGTCACTATACTTAACAATGGGATCATCTCTATAAAGAGATTCTTCAATTGATGTCGAATAGATATCGAATACAAATACGAATAACGAATACGAATAATCGAATACGAAATATAAATATAAAGTATGAATTTTCTTTTGATAAAAATCGAGCAGAAATAATTTGATAGGAGTATTATCAGAAGAAATATATTACGAAGAAATAGTTCTTTGGAATATTTCATGTCCTCAAATGAAAATATTCATAAGTACTATTTTAATTTTTCATTCATATCATTTAGTATTTCCAATTAATTTAATAAAACAAATAAATTTTAATATACAATATTATTTGTAATTTTTTTTTACAACTTAAATTTTATGAAATAGTCACCGAGTGAACACAATGTTGATGAAAATTAAGATGTAATTCATGTTCAAATGTTTTTTGACACATTTGACAACGATAAATGCTACATTGCTGCTGTTGCTGTTGTTGTTGTTGTTGTTGTTGTTGTTGCTGCTGTTGTTGTTGATGAGTTCGACGTACGTGGCTATCATGTGCTGCATGCGATGCAAATGATTTACCACAATTAGCACACTGTATACAATTGTAAGTTATGATTATGATGTATTACTAAAAATTAATTGGATAATATCAAAATTAAATATATAGTAACATGCATAGTTTGCTAATTATATCATTATTATTAGATGATTAGTAACTATAAGAAACAAATAAAGTATCTTTAAAGGTCAAATAATTAATTAGTTAATTAAATGAAAGAATTCCACGATTAAACTTATTATCCTAAAAATTTTTTCATAATGCAACCTATTATCATTTAATGCCATTAGATGGAAATTGTTTTATTACAAGAAATTAAATTGCCACATATTTCATAATTTTATACCAATATGATATGATTTAAGGAAAGAATGAATTTTGCATATACCTGAAAAGGTTTTTCACCACTATGTTGCCGTATATGCGTACGAAGGATACTGCTTGCTGTAAAACTTTTGCTGCAAAAAATGCACTTGTACGGTCGTTCACCGGAATGCACTCGGAAGTGCTAAAAATAAACTATTCCAAAAAACTTCCCAGAAGTTTAAAATAAAATAAAATGCTTTATCAGTGCCATATAATAATATTTATTTCTAATTTATTAACTGTTGATGGAGTAGTTGAAGCAATGATATAATTGAATTTCAGAAAATAGAAATGAAACAATATTCTGCTCAACAAATTAAAATCTTTCAATAGTATCATATCATTAATGGTATCATTATCATTTATTATCATCAATGGTATCATTTAGCAAATTATGTTCTGTCTATTGGAATAATACAAAAATATGAAACTGTATTAATTGTTAAAATTTGAACAAAGAAAATGAATTATACTTTATTAAGACTTGATGATTGAGAAAATGATTTGCCACACGTGGAACATACGTGAGGTCGATGATTTTCATGAACGTGCAATACATGAATCCTTAACCGATCACGTTTCTCAAATGACCTAAATTATAATTTTTCATTTCCAAATTAAAAAATACAATCATAGAAGAACTTCTTCTTTTATAAAAAATATAGAAAAAAATTATATTTAATGAAATTTTATAAAGTAATTAAAATGGAATTGTTTTTTCAAAAGATGTAAATACTTAATATAAAAAAAAAATTTGAATTTAAAAATAAATTTTCAATACCGTGGACAAATGGAGCAACGAAATTTACGATCACCTTGATCAACACAACGTGTATATTTGAGATGTTTCTCACGATAATATGCATAAGTAAACATTTTACCACAACGATCACATCTATAGCCACCAGTGTGCTCTATAAATTTCAAAAAAGCTTAAATTTTGTAGCTTATTTATTTTATAATAATTTTAAAATTAGTTTAGTTATTATTTATTCCATTGTAATATCAAAGTAAGACTGGTATAAATAAATGAATTGAATAAGATTTGGAATAATTATAGCAAGATATATTAAAATGTTTATAGCAAGCAAGATAGTAAGCTATACCATAATAATATCCGGAGTAATTATGCTATTACATCATAATGATTTCAAGATTATCATAACGATGATATTTTTCTTCTACCTATGTCACCACTATTTAACATTTAAATAATTTATATTTTAAAATTCCACAAACTTGTCAACATCTGAAGTGAAAGTTTATCCTATTTTTCATATTATTCAAATCGAGAAATAAGCAATGTTAAGAATTTCATTTATTTTTGCTACAATTCCAAGACCATACTTATCTTCCCTTAAATATTAGTTCTCTCTTTTTTTCGAGTGAAATTTTGCAAAATTTATAGTTCAAAACTTTTAAAATGTGTTAATTAATTTTTTTGCTGTCAATTAATTAGTAAATATTAAATATGTTATCTTTTTAATGTCAAATTTCTTTGTCATAAAATTTCTATTTGCATTGATTGAAAAATTTAATGTCAAATTATTAAATGTATTAAGTGTCATTTCGAAGCTTAGTAGTTAACGTGAAATGGAAATGTTGTATAAATTGTATATGTACATTTTCTCTTGTATTCCATCGTATCAGTTATAATAGTCTATGTGTGTGTGTACGCGTGTGATACGTTTCATTTGTATGTAATATTGGCACTTGAAATAAGACCCTGAGTAGATACTTGAAATTGGCCTAAATTGATACTTGAAAAAGGAGAAAAGAGGAAGTCATAAGTTGACATTAAAATTGGTACCCTTTCTATTTCCATCGCTATAATATATATTAACATTTCATGTCTTATTATTATTATCATTATTATTATCCTTATTGACAGTGATAAATTTTAAAGTGATAAAAATAAAATAAAATAGCGAAGTATGTAAAATATATATTTTCTTTATATATCAAAAAAGGTTTTATTTCTCTTTCTTTTTGAAATATTAGATGTAAATTGTTAGCAATTAAATTAAATTAATAGTGATAAAAGTGTATAATTAATTTTCTATTAATTTAATTAAATCTCATAAAGAAAGGAATGAAAATATAGACTGAATAATGAAATATATGTTAACCGGTGTCAATTAATTCATGCTGTATTATTTCCAACTGTTTGCTTGGCTCATCACTATGAACCATTTTCCTTGGCTCAAGTAGCAATGCTTCAGATTCATCACAAATAATTATTTCTTCACCAAATTCAATATTGCGAAGAACAATTCCATTTCGAATATTGGCTTCATCAATATTTGCAGCTTTACATAGTGATTGCCATTTTGCGGGTATCTAAATAATCTGTTAGTATCAACGATACGATATTTTGCCAAAGTCATATCTAAACATGAGCATAAATAGTAATAGATGATGAAATGGATATAGAATTAAAGAAAGAAATATCACTTAAAGGTCATAGTTTATATGCAAAACAATAGTAATAAGCAACTAACACTAAATTGGTCACCGATATTGAAACCATCCGGCGCTGAGCAAAATACCACATGAAAATATCGTCCAGCACGTGAGAAGCATAATAGTAAGACATTATCACAATGTTCTCTCGTTGATAAGATATCATTTATCACTGTAAAATAATGATAAAATTATTCGAAATCCATTTTGCTATTAATTTGTTCTCTTACATAATTTAAGTATTCTGATCAAGAAAATTCTTAATTCTCGTGCAATATAGTTATAAACAATCTTTATTTGATAATGATTGATATCGTTCGAATCGTTTAAAAATTATCACTTTTCATTAAGCATAGATAAAAACAATTAATGAAAATATAAGCATGCAAAACTTCATAGAAAACATACAAACACACACACACAGATGACATAAAAATGAATCTTAAATGCTTTGACAGAAGTTATTACTGTAATTACTACAACACCTTACTATTGGTAATATCTATTTTGATCAAAGAGGACATTTTTCTTTTTGATTAAGATGATATGATGAAAAGTAATTAAGTTTGCAAGTATACAGTTTTAGTGATATGCATGAAATGCAAATATGAAATAAGAATGTAATAACACAATTGTAAAATACAACGTGGATGCAATACGTGATTAGGATATTGTACATTATAGATAAATTATTTGATAGATTCTAACATGATTTTAAATCATACCTGTTTCATTTGAAGTTAACTGTAATTGAAGGTTGATCGTTTGAAGTTTATCACCACGTATTAATGTAATGGGAAATGGTATTGCTGACATAAGAGGATCAGTTGAAAGAAGCAAAGGTAATGATAATGTAGATGATAATGGCGGTGGTGTTGGTAATACACTTTTTGATAATGTTCGCTCAGCAAACGATGAAGAAGCTTTTGATAGAAATGGAAAAATGGGATGGTCGAATGGGAGATTCTGGAACCATATCGGTAGTATAGTATCACCATCATTATTGTCATTATTATTCCTACTTTTAATATTATCATTAATTTTAGATAATGAAGTAGATTTTGATGATTGAATTGGATACATGCTGATGATAATGATGATGATGGTGATGGTGATGATGATGTTACAAGTGACACCCACTGATTATTTACCACACTTTAACTACTATATTATAGTTACAGTAGGATCGTTGAATGAAAGCAATAATAGGATAGGAGTTGTTTAAGAGCAGATTCCTATTTTCATCTCTTTCTTCCCGATCCTCTTTATTCCCTGGACAATACAGGCGGAGTTAGCTGAGTTATCTTTTGGACTATGACTATATTTGGTATATCAAAAAAAGACACGATTTTATTTACCCTTAAATTCTTACCATATACCATTATTCCCTTTTCCTTTCCTATCAATAAAAACCTCCTGATATTATCAAATCTATTCTATACTACTACCGTAACCTAAATAGATCAATTAGAGAATTTAGTTAGAAAAGAATGAATATGAATCTAACAATTCTATTCATCTATTTCATCATATTATTTGCATAATTGAAATAATAGATTAGAATATTTAGATAAATACCATATAAATACCGTATTCATTTAAGCCTAAATATTTATTTCACTTCTAATCTAACTTATCCTACTAAATTATATCTAACAACATTCTTTGCATCCATTAACTAACTAATTATGTAAGCTCCAACAGACCAAATGTCAATTAAGAAAATATAATTAACTTTTAGGGAGATGAATTTTAGCGAATTCTATTTTCATCTCATCTCATAAGATAATACAATAAGGTTCAATAAGGTTACATTACAATGTTATATCCTTATGCTCATCCTCTAATTATATCCGTTTGATTACTATATCTATTAAACAAACTAAACTAAAGCTTCCACTTCTAATACTCAATTATCAGTCTGTTAACCATCAATCCTTTTTCTTTTTCTTGTTCATCTACTCAATCGATTCTATTTCATTGATCGCTTTTTTACTTTTCAAAATATTTCATTTTGAAATAAATCTTCAGCTTACAGTAGCTTACAGTAATCTTATACAACTAACAGAATCTTTCTAGTTATATCTAAATATATCTACTTCTATCTACTTATATCTACTTCTCTAAATATCTACTTCTATATCTACTTATATCTACTTCTTTATATCTATATTTATATCAACTTCTAAATTATATCTACTTCCAATTTATATCTACTTCTAAGTTACATCTACTTCTAAAAAATGTCCAATGATCGCTTCAATTTACCATTTTTATTCTTAACCATGTGATTCTTAACAAAAATTCGTATTTGAATTATAGTAAATTTTAAACTTTATGCAAATTTTTCTGCGGTTTAAATAAAAACAACAATAACCCAATTATTTCTTCGGTTACCATCTTTTGATATTGATATTATATTCATTTCTCTCTTTTCGTTCGATTTTAATAAGTCATTGAATTATCAACTTTTTAGTAAAAAAGTTTTATTTTTCGAAATTTAATTTAATTTAGAATTAAATTTATTCAAATTCAAAATAAATTAATTAATATGCTTTTAATATCATTTCTTCTCTCTTCTTTTTATTTCACTTTTTCCATAAACAAAATTGTTCGATAATATGTTACAATTTTGTACCAAATAATTTATAAACAAAAAATTCGGCTAATAATGAAAAATAAAAGATAGCAAATTGATAGATATGCGTGAATACCTGTAATTTTTTATCATCCTAATAAATTATTGTAGAAATGATATGATTCATATAATAATTATTACAATTATTAATAATCGTTATGCTAAATAATAATTAATTATTAATTATCATACAACAATGTTAACGTCATATTTAGATTATTCGGTTATTTTCTATTGACACATCAATGATACGCATTAAAAAGCTATTCGGATACATACAGATACATTCACATACACATAGACTTAATTATTCCACTCTATGATATGCCTTAAAAATCTACTTGGATACGCAACAGATACAATCACATACATAATTATTCTATTTCTTGAATATTGTTTAATTCATATTTTAAATTTTTCATAGTTTTGAATAAAATTTATAGGAAAGAAAAATTTTACGATAACGAGAGAAGAGGAAAAAAAGAAGAAAAACAATTTTATTTTTATTAATTAATCTTTTTTATTAATTAATAAATAATAATGCACAAACCGTATTTGCATCAATATTTCCAATTAACAACTGTAATGTGATGAATCCGATTGTTGTATAAAGAATTACCAAAAATACGTAAGGAAAAATTAAACCAAATAACATTCCAATTATCATATGACAAGAAAAGCTACCAATAATTGTCACTAAGAGCAATAATAGACGTTCACTAAAGATAAAAACAAAAAAATACAAATAGATTGAATTATAACTTAATTAATTAATTATTTTCAAAAAGAATTTAGTCATATTATAGCTCTATGATATATTATTATTATATTTGCTAAGCATCTTTCAAAACTTTTCATTTTCTTTGTATCTTTTAATTAATAGCAATATTATTATTTTGACTACAATTTAACGAAGCATTTATATTTAACGGTTCAATCATATTCATTTGATACAGTACCACACCGTAGTATCCATGTGGTAAGAACAGTAGTAGTTGAAGACGAATCGAAATATGCTAGCATCAAAGTAAATATAAATTGTTAAAATTGAATACATAAAAGCAAAATTATACTTTTTTGCTTTTGATTGAAATATTGGCGCAATGGTACCAATAAAACTTGGCGTTAATGCGGCAAGTGGAGGTAAACTATGAAGTGTACGATTGGAAAGTATATAGCCTGTTAATAAACCCTACAAATAAATCATTTAGCATGAAATTTCATTTATAAGTTATTAGCATACATTTATTTATCTTTAATATATCTTTCATACTTTCGCTTACTTCAATCATAGCAAGTGTAAGTAATCCATGTCGTAGTATCATATCATTCCATGCATGTTTACTAACTGATAATTTATTGATATAATGATATGTTATCAATGGTAAAAGAATATAAGCACAAATAATCGCCATAAAACTGCTGAAATAATAAGCATTTTATAAATTATTTTTTGAAAGAAATTAGGTTTCATTTTAAAGTTGTATTAATTTAAAGTATTTAAAACTATTTGTTTATGATAAAATTATCATTGAAATTTCCTTGCATATATAAAATAGCAAAAGAAATGGATTTATCCATTATGCTGAATTAGTATTTAAATAATGATAATTATTTAGTAAATATTGTTTTATATATTATGAAATATACTTTATTGAAAATAGATAACATTTATGGTACCTAATAATTTGTCTAATTAAAAATGAAAAGAAATATGCGGAAAAAGTTGAGAAAATAGAATGTATTAGTAAGAGAAGAGCGGTCCATATAAATGTCCGCATTATCTTTTCAGTATCATATTTTATAGGTTCCATATCGACTATTGCATCAAACAGTTGCGATTTCTTTTTATACATTTCCGGTTGTAGCGATTTAAATCTTTGCCGATAATACTTCATCTATGAAACAGATCGCCTCTAATTATGATGATTATTTTTATCACTAATAATTATTTTTACTAAAATAGCTAATCTTATATTGAATTCAACTGATTTTCGAACTTCGCTGAAACATTGCTAGCATTATTATTGGTCTTATAAAGTCAAAACTGTCAATTAAATATTGAAATTTCAGTTAGTCTATGACAGTGTATAAATGAATACTTCTTGAAGAAAAATGAGGAAGTTAAAAGATGAAACGAATATAGCACGAGAGCTATTACTGCAGAAAATTTTTAATATTTTGTTTAGTATCATGAGGATAAAAACAATACACAGAGAGTAACACGCCAGGCGTGACGATACAACTTCTGTGAAACTTCTCTACCAAAACATTGAGATACCCACTAAGTATCGTAACTACTTCTCGATAGCTTGTGATCAAACTTCTTTCTTCTATTGCTCAAATTCGCCAACTTTCTCCCTTCCAATTTATATAATGGAAACGACAGTAAGTGTATACACACACCACCTCTACCCAACTTGCGCTGATTCATTTGTTATCACTACATTAGTCTTACTTGATTGTCGATCTCTGTACGAATAAGATGAGTTTGAATGCGAAGCAACGTATAATTATCCAACATTTCAGTTTTATATTGTTTAAATAACTTCTTTAGGCTTTTCATAATGCTTTTCAGATTGGGAAAGTTTACGAAATCTGCACTACGATGAGCTATTTCATGAAGAAAAACGACCAAATGCTGCAAACGCAATTGGTATAAATGACCACACTACGTAACACAGTTGAGCAACAATGAAAAAAATGAGTGATTCCAAACATTACTTTAGAATTTCACAATTAGTCCATACTGCTATAGATGCAAGCACTAATATTCCAGCAGTCACATCCTGATCAAATGTCATATCTAATGCAAAAAATGACTCATTTTCTTTCCTAACTAGATTACCATTAATTATCATGAAATGCATAAAAATCAAACGGGCACATGAAGCAAATGAGTTAAATTCACAGATTTCTCAATTTCATTTTTCCATATGACATACCAATGCAACCGCTATTTGGTTTTATCTAGGAAAATTCAAATTTGTAAAAATCTTTATCATATAAAGTGTGATGCAAATGATTAGATTTTTACTTTCGATTTTTCTGGTTTTTTCTCTGCTGCTTTACGGTTTGCTTTTTCTTGCGCCTAAAAAATAGTTGTAACAGAAACATTTCTTAACTTGAAAATTCTGCAAATTCATGAAGAAATAAATCCGGATTGGAAGACAGTGGTACAGAAATACTCGTATCAGACTCTGGTCTAAACCAGTAAGTTTAGAAAGCTTGAATAAATCAGTACATAAATAAAAAGTAAACAAAATATTAAAGTAATAAAAATACCTCCTGCACTAATGGTACCAGCCTTCCTTCTTTAGCCAATACTTTTAATAACTCGACAATAAAAGGTATGTAATTATGACGACGTCTGATATTTTCTGCTTTGAATGATTTTTCCTTTTCTTCTTCAGCGGCAATCAATGCCTGAAGATGATTCATTTCT